AATAAAAGCAACTCTTTAGATGTAATAATTTTACAAATTCCCAAAATACCTTTACATTTAACATTCAATGTTTTAGCTTACGTTTTAGGTTACGTTGGATATTTTTACGAACATAATTAATATTTTTACAAATTTATAATATTAAAGTATAAAAAACATATTTTATATAATACCTACATCGAAATGATCTTCACAACAAAAACAATTCCATTTTCCTGGTTCATCAATACGATGTGCACTTTTAAAACACTTTTTTCTCACATTTTCAGCTTGAAGCACATAAAAAAAAAAAAAAACAATTTTCCTGGTGTTTTAATTGTCGTACTTTTACACAAAGGTACAAAACACGTTTTGTATGTGTTTCATTTGCTCATTTTTTAAATAAATTAATTTCCTGCTGAAGAATTGTGGTTTCGTTGTTGCAGTGTGACGTCACAACGTGTTCGGGAGAGCTCGGTCGTATCCGGACCGTCTTCGGCATTTCAAATATTGCAATACTTTATTATTTATTTTCTTGCATAATTTGTGTTTAAAAATTATTTGAACATTGCAGTTAAAGATATATATATATATATAAATTATAAAATGTTATATTTTTCAAAAATCATGAGAACTCCTTATTTATGATAGCCGTTTGGGCTATAACAGGTACTATTATATGTCGCACTATAAAGACATTATCTTTGTTCGTCTTTCGTAATTTCAATGAATATTTATCGCATGAATTTATTCAAATAGTCAAAGTACTTATTTATGTTGTAAAAATTAGCATTCGCAGAAATTAAACAAACAATACACGCCATTCAAAATGCAAATTTTCAGAGCCTAAATATGCGATCATAAACACGGCGATGAAAGCCTGTTTAATCAACCCGGCCGCACTGAGGTACAATGTTTTTGTTTATCCAGAAATCGCAATTCGAATAACTTTGCGCGGGCATCGTGTCCTGATCAACAATCAAGACTCTCTTCGCACCCGACTGATCAAACTGCATGACTTTGTCATGCCAAACAAAATGGTTAAATAACTGTTGCATAGCTAATACGTGTCTCTTCTCTTCGGGCGTAACAGCAATGTAGGTTCCTAAAATGGCCGCAGCGTCACTGTCAGGATCGGCCAAATGCTGTTGGCGTGGTTGAGTAGCTACGTAAAATGGTATGTTGGTATTCATCCTGGCGAGCGTTAGTAATGGGCATACTACACGAATATCGGAGATCATTGTGACTAAACCCTTCAATGTAGCATTGTAGAGCCTGGAAAATAGTACACGCAATAAATATATATGCAACAAATATAAAAAGATAAGGGCAATGAGCCAATAATTTCGTTAAAATCTTTTTAAATTAATCTAATATGTTGCGAAGAATATCACGTAATTATGGCGTTTCGTCCCAGCTTCTACTACTAGACTCATCAGTAAGGCATTGTAGTGGAAGCCTACCTTATACGCCTGAGTTATTTAGTCGAGATTCTATATAAAGAGATATACGCGTGTCAAAGCACTTGCGAGAATTTTGCGCGATATTCTTCGTAATATATTAGATTAATTTAAAAAGATTTCAACGAAATTATTGGCTCATTGCCCTTATCTCTTTATATTAGTTGTTAAATACATATTGAGCCTTATCACAAACATTTTTATATATGCAACGTTTACTATTATTTAGAAGAGGCTGAGAAAAAGAGATTTAAAAGTAATCTAAATACACCACATCGAACATTAAAAATAATTCAATCGCTCACCTCAGAGCTTCAGGCGTATAGCCTCTCATTCCGAGTAAGGATTCTTGTACAATATTTTCGATCTGTGTCGCGTTAAGAGTAACGTTTAGTGATAAATATGGCGGCGGGGTACCAGAGTGCGCGGTGGTACCCATCACTATCTTTATCATAAGATTGTCTTGCGACAAGATTTTAGAAACACCGACGTGTTTCTGAAGAATTGTTCCGTCCAAAACAAGCCATTCATGTCTTCTTTGCGTGTAAGTGCTTGCGTCTTCTTTCATTTCTGGTAAACCAACGGTACCTACGTACCACGTCTCTGGCACAGCATCCATAAGATCTTCGGCGCTCTTGCTTCTGAGACAGGCGGCATCGCTGCAACGAATGGAATCAAGGAATGGTCGGTTTATGTCTTCAGACAAGTTCAATTCTCTGCTTGGGAAGATCGCGCTACCGCTGGATATCCACACTTTCGAGAAAAGGTTCTTTGCTCGACGATGGCTGATCAATGTTGTTACAAGAGTGCCGCCCGCTCGATGTCCCCACAACATAACAGACGATTTGTTGCCGCCGAAATTTTCAATGTTCAATTGTATCCATTGAAGAGCTGCTACGATGTCTGACAATCCATAATTACCCGATGTTGGAGGATGGGTCGCTCTGGTAAGAGGCTCGACCGCCAAAAATCCAAAAATTCCCATTCTTAAATATGAGAAATATAATAAATACATCTTAATTATAAAATATTTATTTAACATACACACACATACATGTATTATATATATATATATAGTGTCACAGAACGACCGCAAAAAAAATTACATGCACAGGTAGAGCGGACTGAACTGACAATGTGTCAAAAAGTCCTCTACCGTTTTGCAATTTTCGCAATAGTCAACGAGATATTAATTGGTAAAAATTACTGAATACGCGCGTCTGCCGGGTTTACTACTGCCAACAGTGTACGCCTATTGATAGTTTGACCGCGCGGACTACGGAGAGCGGGGATGAACTGGCAAGCGTGCCGCTATCTGAGTCGCGACGTTTGGGGTTCGCGGCGGTGTGCGCAGCGTGGGACGCTTGCCAGGCAGTCCCTACTTCCCACTCCACAAGCCATCGATGGTGGATATTCGGCGTTTTAAAAATTAATATTATCTCGATTGTAAAAATTGGGAAATGATCGAGAATTTTTTGAGAACATAATTTAATTCGTATACATATAGAAAAATATTGCATAATAGTACATTGTGTAACGAGTGCGGATTAGTTGTCTATTGCGCGGAGCGGGCGCGCTATAGACAATTATACCACACGAATTTTTTTTTGCACATAGACTTTTTCATCATGTGTGCACTGTGTTAGTAATATGTTATATAATTATAAAGTTATATAATTATAAGTAAACTCGCTTCGCTCGTGCGACTTATGGGGTGGTGCGTGGGGCGCAGGAAGCAGGGGGGGTTAAAATTAAAATATTTCGTAAATAAATATTTAACAATACAAAATTTTGTATTGCTCATTACTTTTAATTATAATTGTGAGATTATTACAATTTGAAATTATATAAATTTAAAACTAATAAGAGGTAATAATAAATTTAAAAACGTTATTATAGCGCAGGAAGCAGGGGGGGTTAAAATTAAAATATTTCGTAAATAAATATTTAACAATACAAAATTTTGTATTGCTCATTACTTTTAATTATAATTGTGAGATTATTACAATTTGAAATTATATAAATTTAAAACTAATAAGAGGTAATAATAAATTTAAAAACGTTATTATAAATTGAATGATATTTAGATATTGTATTGTCGGTTTGTCGTAGTTGATACTTTTATTATTGTAAAATTATCTCCCCAGATACCCCGAAAGGACGTTCCGGTTGGCGCGTTTCTCCGTGTTGATATTTGTACGAGCGCTACCACTGCGTTGCGCTATTTTTTTTTAATGTAACGCTTTTGCGTGGAGTTAGAGAAATACCTCACGATTTGAGTTATTGGCTATTTCCCGCACGCAAAAACGTTGCGGCAAATAGCCAATAGCTCAAGCTGTTAAGTTATTTCTCTAATCTCACTCTTCTGCGCAAAAGCGTTGCGATATAGGGCACATTATGATGAGCACTCGTAATGAAAAAAGTCTATGTGTAACGAGTGGGGGTTTATTTGTTATAGCGTAAAGCGGGCGCGCATGCGCACGAGCAAAGCTCGTGCGCTCGCGCCCGTCGCGTAATAAATCCCCACTCGTTACACAATAGGCCTGTTCTTTTTACTGAACTGGTGCATAGAGCGCAATAAGTTGATGTGAAATAGATATACGTTTGTTTCATTTCAACTTATTGCACTGTGTGCACTAGTTCAGACAGTGCAGACAAAAAGAACAGGCCTAATGTACTGTAGGTCAATCAGACAGTTCCGTCCATCTAGCGACGAGTAGCTGGAACTGTCGATAACTCTAATGTCTAAATCAAACTTAATTTTTTAGTTTTATCATCTGTTACCATACGTTAAACGACAGAAAACATTTAGATTAAAAAAGGTACGAGTATATTATGATAACGTATCCTACCGGAAATTTGGTCGTACGAATACGATGTCACGAATGCGTGCTGTCCTGGCAGAAGGTTGCATCACTCCAGGTGAACCGCCACTCAGGGTTTCGGCGCCGATCATTACAACTACGGGTAATGGAAAATTGTATCCAACTCTTGGTGTAAACACATCAAGATAGAGACAATCCTCGACGCCGTCTATACGACCGGATGTATTACGTTGCCAGCAGTTCTCAGAGGAGTTATGCGCCAAATAAGTGCCGTTCCAGCAGTGCTCGATACGGCTCAAAGATTCAGCTGGTTGCCAGCGACGATTGCCCACCGGTGGCATTGCGTATGGAATACCACGGAACACGTAGGCGCTATTCTCCATAATACCCTGCACTAGTCCACACGATGTCACTGCTTCGACATACTTGTTGTTTTCCACAAATTTGGAAGGAATCCTCCTAGATCCGGCGAAGGCGATACACATAATAGCGATGGTGAGCACGGTCATCAAGATCAGCACTATCAGTAAATTTAAATATTTAAATTTTACATATTGCGATTAATACGAATAAATATAAGTTAAATAATGTGAGATAAATTCTGTATCCTCGTACTTAAGAGGGGCAAGTATCTCTTCATACAGACCACCAGGGGATGCTTTGGTCGATCAGGGAAAATTCCATATCCGTATTTGTCATATTGCACAACTTCCATGCCATCTTCATCGACGATAGGCTTCTTCTCAAAAGTGGTGGCGTCGTCGTCGAATGTTTCGGCACTCGCTAATCCAGCAGTAACGGTTTGTCCTAATTCGGTATCGATTTCCTAAAAGGGGAAACATAACACACATATTATGGTAACTTATTATTCTTTAAATTCTTTGGATTGAAATTTCACTCTAAAGAGTGAAAATCGAGCCAGTTTTGATAAAAATGCGACTCAATTTTCAATCTGTATGAGTGAGATTTTACTTTTTAAAATATGTTTGTAATAAGGCTCAATAAATTTAAATATAATAAAAAAGAAAAAGGGGCTACGAGCCAAAAAATTCATTAAAATATAAAATTGTAAATAAAAATTGTCATTTGGTTAAAATTACGTAGTCTAATTAGAAAAATAGATAACAGACGTTTCGACCTCTATTAGATCATTTTCAATGTTACAAAGATCGCAGTTCAAAAATTATAGAATTATAAAATTACATAAAAAAATATGAAAAAATATAAAAAATACATATAACAATGTGCGTGTAATCTCACTCGCATAGTTTGAAGTATACGTCATATACAATTCGGCAAACCAGTAAGAATCCAAAAACAATGTAATTCGTCTAGTTTTAAATGTGGTTTGCGAAGGCGCGTAATTGTTTTTTATAAAAATGTATCAATGTACAAATTATAAAATTGTTAGAACAATGCGATGACAGCCAAGTTTAAGATGTTACACGTTAAAAGTATAGAAATTAGAATCAGATAAAGTATAGAATTACAGAATATACTGGGTGGGCCATTTTAATTTATGCACTTAAATTTCTCTGTACCTAAGGCAGATGCGGGAAAATA